TGGGGGTAGGCCAAGGTTTTGAAAATGGTATAGGTGCAATATACTCTGAACAAAAGGCTAAATTAATTGTAAATAATGTGGTTACGGAAGAATTTAAGATAGAAAAAGGGACACGACAGGGGTGCCCAATTTCCCCACTGCTTTTTATATCGGTCCTGGAGGTTTTGCTAAATATGATTAGAAAGGACCGGTTGGTTAAGGGCATACAGGTCGGAGCTAAACAGTACAAACTGAGAGCATTTGCAGATGACCTAGTATTGACGTTACAGGAGCCAGAATCTAGTACTAAAAGAGTTTTAGAATTAATTCAGGAATTTGGTCAGGTGGCAGGTTTTAAATTGAACAAGTTAAAAACTAAGGTTTTGGAGAAAAACTTAACACCGATTGAAAGAGAGAGGTTTCAGAATGAGACAGGATTGAATGTGGTAAAGAAAGTGAAATACTTGGGGATTAATATGACAGCCAAAAATGGGAATTTATTTAAAGATAATTACGAAAAATGTTCGACGGAAGTGAAAAGATTTAGAAATTTGGTCAAATTTGAAACTCTCGTTGCTGGGCCGTATTGCTGTGATAAAGATGAATGTATTGCCTAGAATGTTGTTTTTGTTTCAGACATTACAAATTGTAGATAAGATGGACTGTTTCAAGAAGTGGCAGAGAGATATTTCTAGATTTGTCTGGCAGGGCAAGAAGCCCAGAATAAAATTCAAGATATTAACTGATGCCAAGGAAAGAGGTGGATTTGCCCTGCCAGACCTTAAACTTTATTATGAATCAGCAGCTTTTTGCTGGCTGAAAGAATGGCTACTTCTTGAAAACACAGACATTTTGGATTTAGAAGGTTTTAACAATGTATTTGGATGGCATGCATATTTATGGTATGATAAGGTCAAAGCACACAAAGCATTCAAAAACCATATTGTTAGGAAAGCATTGTTTAATGTTTGGATAAGATACAAAGACTTATTGGAAAATAAAACCCCAAGGTGGCTGTCACCAATGGAAGCAAAAGCTCTGAAAAGGCTCAATATGGAGGCCAAATGGCCGACATATTGGGAAATTTTGGAGCAAGAAGGAGATAAATTGAGACTGCAGAGTTTTGAAAAATTAAAAAATAAAGTGAGAGATTGGCTCCACTACTATCAGATAATGGAGGCATATAATTTGGATAAGAAAATAGGCTTCCAAGTGGAAAAGTCAAAATTAGAAACAGAATTGTTAGAACCCAAAACTAAAAATTTGTCAAGAATGTATAACTTGCTGTTGAAATGGAATACTCAGGATGAAACGGTGAAATCAACTATGGTTAAATGGGCACAAGATGTAGGACATAACATTATGTTGGCTGACTGGGAACAGTTATGGACCACAGGTATGAAGTTTACGGCATGTAATGCCTTAAGAGAGAATATTATGAAAATGATATACAGGTGGTACATGACCCCAGTCAAGCTTGCAAAAATTTATCATTTGCCCGATAATAAATGTTGGAAATGTAAAGAAACTGAAGGTACATTCTTTCACCTTTGGTGGACGTGCCCAAAGATTAAGGCTTTCTGGGAAATGATATATAATGAACTGAAAAAGGTATTTAAATATACCTTTCTGAAGAAACCAGAGGCCTTTCTCTTGGGCATTGTCGGCCAACTGGTGCCAAAGAAGGACAGAACCTTTTTCATGTATGCTACAACAGCAGCAAGAATACTTATCGCAAAGTATTGGAAGACACAAGATCTACCCACTTTGGAAGAATGGCAGATGAAGGTGATTGACTACATGGAATTGGCGGAAATGACTGGCAGAATCCGAGACCAGGGAGAAGAGTCGGTGAAAGAAGACTGGAAAAAATTTAAGGACTATTTACAGAAATATTCTAAAATTAAGGAACTTTAGAAGGATGTTGGATAGAAACTAAGAGGTTTTTAGCTGTAATGCTTTAAGAGACATGGGGGGAAAAGGGTTAACAATTGGGTAAAAGATTAATGGTAAGGATTTGCTGAACCAACAAACTGAATTGGAATACAAAGAAGGGAGGTATGAGGAGGTCTGGGGAAATAAGAGTAAGGAAGATAGGTTATGGAACATTATTGTGTTTTTAACTGTTTTATTTTGTATGTTTTTTTTCTTACTTTTTACTTTTTTGCTGTAATTTATACTTTTTTCTTTGTTTTCTGTATTTTTGTGAAACTTTAATAAATATCATTTAAAAAAAAAAATGACTGCCGTACATCGGAGAAAGCCTTCTTAACCAAAAGCATCTTCAGTAGCCACTTAAACATCGTGACACAAGGAGCCTGTTAAATTTCAGCTTCTAACTGAATCCAGAGGGCTGCAGCTGCCACACTAAAGGCTCATTTCCTAGTACCTGCAGTGCAGCCCTTAGCAGTGCCCTATCTGTGGAGCACAGGTGCCAGGCAGGGGTATATGGAGCAAGGTGGTCTCTTAGGTCATCTGGAAGTTGTTTAGGGCTTTTAATGCTACAAGCAAAACTTTGAAGTGTACTCGGTAGCATACTGAGAGCCAAGGTAGTCCCTGCAGCAGAGGTGCTACATTAGGCATCCCCAACCTGCGGCCCTCCAGATGTTTTGGCCTACAACTCCCATGATCTCTAGCTAACAGGACCAGTGGTCAGGGATGATGGGAATTGTAGTCCAAAACATCTGGAGGGGCGAAGGTTGGGGATGCCTGTGCTATATGATGTCAACAGAATGTCCCAGTCAACAACCTAGGAGCTGCATTCTGAATCAGATAAAACTTCCGGATGGAGCTCCACATGGAGTCCATTGCAGTAATCCAGTAATGAGGTTACCCAGTGCCAGGACCTCACAGGCAAAGTGATCTCAGGAAAAGGCACCCATAGCTGTTTTACCAACCAAAGCTGGTAAAAGGCACTTCCAGCCACAGAGGTCACCTGTGACAAAAACAGATTCAAGGGCACCCCGAAACTATGTACGTGTTCCTTCAGAGGGAATACATCCCTGCCTTGAAACAGGTATCTAACCTGTCTCCCAGCACAGGAACCACTCACAAAGCCTCAGTCTTGACAGGGTTTAAATTCAATTTATTGGCCCTTACCCAGTGCACCACTGTGCCCAGACAGTGGTCCACACCATAATCTGATGACCATTGCCACAGATCCCCTAATGACCACTCCTGATGGCTTCATGAAGTTGTTAAATAGCACTGGGGACAAAAGACCCCGTAACAGACATGCCAAGGGTCCGAAAAGCATTTCCCCCAGTGCTGCTCTCTGGATCCCAAACTCCAGGAAGGACCATAACCACTACAGAGTCCCAGCACCCATCCTAAAGAGCCCAGTGGTATCAAAGGCAGCAGAGAGATCAAGCAGAAAGGCAAGGCTGTGTTCCTCTTGTCTTTTCCATTTGCATGCTATGCCTGATTTCTGATCCTTTAGACCAGGAGTGGGGAACCACTGGTCTATGGGCCAGTCTCAGCCAACCAGAGGGCCCAATTTGGCCCACGAAGCTATTTCCCCCAACCCACACCCACCTGTCAAACAGCTGACATCGCCAGTGATGGGAACAGACAAGGTAAAACAATCCTGGGTTCTCTTTTGCCATGTGAGGGAGACTTCAGCCTCATGTAGCCAATGCTTGAATAAGCACTTTGGCAGCTCTGTGCCTGAGCCTTCACAAATTCACTGAATCCAGGGCAGGCAACACCACTTTAAGTTCCCATATGTCTGGCAATCAGCAAAGGTTTTTGACAGGTGGTGAGACAACCTACCTGCTGTCACCCATGTGGCATGCTAATGATGCCATGTGATCAACAGGTGGCTAGTCCTGCCCACCTGTGAAAGTAAGCCCACAAGGTGGGGACAAATTAAAGGTTTATTATCCCTGTTTTAGCTCAGCTGCCACCAATGTTCTGCAAGCTTTCAGACTTCACAGGCACTTGCAAGGCCATTTGGGGTTTTTGATTTCCCTCCCCACTTTTATCTCCACAAACTTCTGCACACTTATCAAGTGCCCTAATTATATAGAAACCACTCCCTTGTCTTTTGGGAGGGGACCATTTTGCTTCCAAAGAGTTCACTGTTAAGAGGGAATTATATTCAAGGTTGTTATTTCTAGAGTATATTCAGCCAGCATTTTAAAATTCTGCCCGCTTAAGAAAAAAACAGCAATCCAGTGCCTTCTGGGGGGAAAACAGAGAAACGACTTAGATGACCTGGCAGTCAAAAAGATTACTGTTTTAAAAGACTACTAAATCTTAGTAACGATGGATCAAGAAAGCACCCAGAACCATCTCATCTGCACCCTTCTGTCAAGCAGAGCCCTCCGTCCATCAACCGTTCTGTGCCATCTTGAACGCTGCACCATGAGGACAGAAAAGTTATTAATACCATCCTGATAAACAGAAATGTTACCTTGGAAAGCAAAAAAATTAAAGACCACTTTCCAGGGTCATCATCAATATCCAGTCTGGGAGGTCACACCTTCCCAGTTCCAGACCTCAAGATCCCATCCAGCTGTTTTTTGCCATCTAACTTCAGGTTACCTTGTGCAACAAAAATAGGGGTTAAATTCTGGAGGGCATCAGAATACAAATCTAGATTCTTTGTCCGTGCACGTACACGCAGAGAGAGTTGACTGCAACAGGGATTTAACTATGCTTCATTTGCTCTGCATTGTGGCTGGCACTTCTGCCAGATTCCTGATATTTTGAATAAATCTGCGGTGAATAGATATCAGTGAATCCTTGCCGTTAGGCACAAGAAGCTGGCATCTTGGTTACATTCTCATAGATTCCACAAACAACCCCATTTTTTATTTTTCTCCATCTTCCTCCCTTGAAGAAAAAGACAGCTCTGTTTCATCTGGCATCACCATTCTGTCCTTTTAGATGCTGATGTGCAGGCAGGCAGGCAGGCAGGCAGGCAGGCGGGCACCCCTGCAATTACCTTGCCTCAGTCTAAACCCCTCCCTTCCTCTGCACCAGCTGTCTGCCTCTCTCAATCTCCCTCTCTCCCTCCCCTCCAGCCTCCGATTCCAGGCAGCACCATTGCTGTCCCCATTCCCCCCTCCATCACCATGTTGGACATTTTCATCCTCATGTTTTTTGCCATTATCGGCCTGGTTGTTTTATCCTACATCATCTATATGTTGTAGAATCTCCAGCCACGCCACCGGCAATGCCAATGGAGGGCGACCAAGCAGGGAGACTGCTTTCCTTGCTTCACGCTGTTTTCTCAGCAATACTGCAGGTGGGAATTCTGATTTATGGTTAGCAAAGCTCTGTCGTATTTGAAAGCCACACTGTTAAATCTGTGCTGCGGGGGTGGGGGGTGGGCGGAAGGCAGTAGACTGCATAGAGGAATAAATGGTGTGTGTTTGTGTATGAAAACTCTTTTCTGCCATCACGAAATAATACCCATCACCCGATCTTTCTGCAGATAGAAAGCTGTGCGCCTTCTGCATTTTGCTGAGCAAAATGCATTTAAAAAATAATAATGCCTGGGCTATTACTGTACTATTAATGCCCTTTCTCTGTTTAAGAATCAATTCTGGATCTTTATTGCTGCTCAATGTGATGTTTGTGATAAGGGCTCTGGGCTGAAGAAAGTACAGAGGCTCTTGTGACATTTACTCTGCTTTTAAGAAGCAACGGGTAGCACTGAGTGCTTTGGAATTGCGTTTGGTAAATAAGGTGCCTGCTTGCTACCAGTCCATGTGTATTTATATCCACATCCTTTTTTCTTCCTTCCTTTTCTTGCCTTAATGGGGATTTTCTACAGATGGGAGACGCCACCTTGGAGGAGATCTCAGCGGGGTGGTCCTCTAGAGTTCTTCCAGAGCATTCTGGAGAAAGGTTAACCCTTCGCACGACCAACTGGGAAAGAGAAGAATGATTCAGCCCAACACCCTGAAGACGCCCCTTGAGATTTCAAAGGATTTGGGCTGGAAATGCAATGGGAACAACAAGGGAACAAGGCCAGGGGTGGACAAAAATGGACAGCAAGAGAAAGGTGACTGAAAGGTTCTAAGAGGAAAAAGGGGTAAAGCTATTGCTTGGACTACCCTACTGTTGTTCGTTTTAAAAAAAAGAGGTTTTCTATATGTGAAAATATACAGGATTTGAATGGAAAAAATAGTATTTTCTTTTATTTGTATGTTCTGGGTTTGTTTGTTTTTTAGTAAAAAGGAATCTGGGAAAATGTGGATTTCTAAAGGCCAAATGGAGGTGGGGCTGGTGGGGAAAGAGACACAGATGGATAACCAAACATATTCTAGCTAATGTTTGTCATGCTAAGGTCCCAATATGGACAACACAGTCTCTGTGCAGAAATGGGTTTTGGCATGGACATCACCTATCAGGTGGAGAAGTTGTGGGGCAGCACACCCAGCAGCTCAGTAGTATATTCAAAACACCCCACATTTCCCTGTGTGGAAGCTTGTACATGAAACACTATGTCTCTGAGAGGTGTGGCTTTGTGCTGCTGTTCAGGGGATCAGAATGCTTATTTTTGCCTTTTTTAAAAAAAGAAAATTTTCCAGGAAATATTTTTTATACATAGTTGCTTTCTCCCCTATATCTTTCTAAGCTGGTCAGATTTTTGCACAGGGACATGAAAGCCACATGCGAAATACGTAGAAAGGAGTGTGTCTTTTGGGTTGATATGAAAGCTTAGGGATTCTCTTTCTCCAGTATGTCACATGTTCATAATTTCTATGAATATGAGAGAAACGTGAAAAGGAAGTATTGTTTGAAAGCTGTCAGATGGACTTATCTCCCTCCCTCCCTCCCTCTCCAAAGGAAAATGTTTCTGCGATGACTTCAGTGCACTAAAATGCCAGAATGTTGGCTTAGTACAGTTACTAACACAGATAAAAAAATTGACATAGTGCAAATACTTGTGTGAAAATAATGTCCTTGCAAACTGTTGCAGGTTGTAACTTTTTGCCTCCACATCCAAACTGATACTGTCAGCTAGGCGAGGAGGAGAGATTTGAAGTAACATTTAAAGGTGAATTTACCCAGTCTGCGCTTTTTGAAACAATAAGTGAACTGGAACACAGTCATCCTTTGAAATGTGCACTTCTCCAAATTTTGCAATGCTGTTTGCCAGCCAAGTGATGTGTAGAAAAATGTATGTGCTAGCGATGTAAAGTGTGCATCAAAATACATATTTTAGTGAAAATAACTTATAGAAATGTATATGATGAGGAGAAATATGCTTTGCAAAGCAAGTATTCGGCAAAATGGAATGTCAGCGTATTAGGAGAAATTTGCACTGAAAGGCTGCTGAGTTTCCTTGGACTTTTTAAAAACAAAACAAAACCAAGAATCATAAATTGATATGGAAATGTGGAGAGCTGAATTTAAGATTGGAAGAAGCAGGAGGAGACTGAAACTGACAGATTCACCCCATTCCTACTTTCAGACTGGAAACAAAACTATCTCTAATGTGCAGGGCCCAATATATAAGATCCATGGTTTGTGGTTTTTTGTTTCCTTGTATTTTTGGAATGTGTAAAATGACACAAGAGGCAGAACCAAACATATTCCCTCACACAAACAGTAATTTTTGGAAGGTTTGAAATGTAAAAATTAATAATTTAATGTGAATAAACTTCAAGGCACCTTGTATTATTGAGTGTTCATTAAAAAAAGAGACAAAAGCATGGCTAAAGGATGGGTTGGTTTTGAGGTGTTAAATGGAAAGCTAGTAAAAACTCAGTTATAATCTGTTCAATGGTTTAGCTCAACCACCAAAAAGGTGTTTGCCCTTCATTGCTAGGCAAGGAGGTAATTTTGCTTCCCTTTGAGGAAAAGGACACAACATTTGGGGTTTTGTAGTCTAGAAGAAAAAAAAGGTGGGGACATGATAAACTTTTTAAACTTATCCATGGTTTACAGAAAGTGGATAAAGGAATGTTTCCCTCCCTCAGTGCCATCCAACCTAAGCAGACTGCTGGAAGAATCAGGAACGGGGGGGAAAGTACTTCTTCGCACCCACAAGATAACAGTGATGGCGAACAACTTGGGTGCCAGAATTTAGGGGTGCCCGGATTTAGTAAGTTTTAGAATTTAATCACTGCTCGAATAGTTAAACCCTTCATAGCTGGGCTCAGCTTTCCCATGTCCAAGCCAGCCCAATAATGGCCAAGCCATTCAGCAAACAAAGGGGGCAGGAAGATGGGCAATTAATAAAGCAAAGATTCTGTGCCAGCGGGAAAATGGGTGAAGCCCTTCCCTGAGCTCAAGAGTTGGGCAGAGGAACAAAGCCCAGTAGTAGAGTTTCAGGATTGCAGTTTTCCTGGTGTGCTCAAGGGGGAAAGGTTTATCAGTCAGTAAACAGCAATGGAACAGAGAAGCAAACTAGGAAGCTGCCTAGAGCAAAGTTAGGAGTTGTGCGCCCTGAAGCCCTGGCTTACCTGGCAGCAAGTCAGTATGCAAAGTCCAAGGGTGAGTCCACACAAAGCAAAGTCCAGGAAATGCAGTTCAGGGTCAATCCACATCGCCAAGGCTGAAGTCCAGCAGTCAGGATACAGTCCAGAGTCAAACACAAAGCATAATCCCGTACACTTGAAGGAGTATCCAAGCTAAGGTACATCAACATAGGCTGTTGAGCAAACATAGCACTTCAGCTCTGCTTCCCTTTTGAATGCTGATTGCAGCATCTGGGCTTGACGAAGCATATTACCCTCACCTGTTCCAAGCCTACTCCAGCCAAGGAATCACAAACCTTCTGCCAGAGCTAGCGAGCCCCACCTGGCCAGATAGGGAGTTGGGCTGTGGGCTCTTGTCTGCCTTAGCCTCCTAGAGAGCATGGGTAGGCAAACTAAGGCCCAGGGGCTGGATCCGGCCCAATCACCTTCTAAATCCGGCCTGCAGATGGTCTGGGAATCAGCGTGTTTTTACATGAGTAGAATGTGTCCTTTTATTTAAACTGCATCTCTGGGTTATTTGTGGGGCCTGCCTGGTGTTTTTACATGAATAGAATGTGTGCTTTTATTTAAATTGCATCTCTTGGTTATTTGCGGGGCATAGGAATTCGTTCATTTCTCCCCCCCAAAAAAAAATATAGTCCGGCCCCCCACAAGGTCTGAGGGACAGTGAACCGGCCCCTGCTGAAAGTTTGCTGACCCCTGTCCTAGAGCCATAGCTGTCAACGTTTTCCTTTTTTTAAGGGAAATTCCCTTATTCTGAATAGGATTCCTTGCAAGAAAAGGGAAAAGTTACAGCTAAGCCTAGAACACCCCTCTCACTTCTCCTGACACCTCTGAGCCTGCTGTGTTCTTGGAGACAGGGAACCCTCTAGTTCTGGTGATGGGTCCTGCTGCTCTAGTTCCTGTGCATTGACCCCCATTCCCTTGCCACCCTCCATCACCCTGTGAGTACTTCCTTTCCCATCCCTTGCTTGCCTGCCCCAGTCCCAAACACACCCCTCGGGATCCTCTTCCTTCTCCCTATCAACCTGCCAGTTTTATGACATTCATGTTAGTGGGAGAGCAAGGCAAGCATGGCTGATGTCTGCTTGGACACAGGACTGCACCTATGGAAGAAGCAAGACCCTCTTGGGATATAAAGCTGGCAGCCCCTCCATTGTAGGATCAGGTTGTATTATGTGTAAATAAACTACATATCATAAAGACACCACAGTCTCTGCTGTGCCTCATTTCCAAAGGAAACTCAAACCTTGGAACTCCCTGGAATCTCACAGAAGGCGATTGGGCCGGATTCAGCCCCTGGGCCTTAGTTTGCCTACCCATGGGCTAGAGGGTCATTTCAAGCAAACTCTTATATTTTTAGTTCTAAGTTAACAAGCAAGCATGCTTTTGTCAAAAACGGACCTTCAAGAAACAAATAAATTACATCAAATAAATGTCAGTTGAGCTACTAAATGCTTTTAAAAGTATAAGTGTGTGTCTAGTTCTGGGCACCACAATTTAAGAAGGATAATGACAAGCTGGAAAGTGTGCCGATGAGGGCAACAAATACGATAAAGGGGTCTGGAAACAAAGCCTTATGAGGAATGGTTGAGGGAGTTGGGTATGTTTACCATGGATAAGAGAAGACCGAGAGAAGACATGTTAGCCATCTCCAAGCATCTAAAGAGCTGTCACATGGAAAATTTTCTATAACTTAAAATCTCTTGCAAAACCTTTATATTCTGTGAAAATCTAAATTCCAATTGACTTTTTATCTTCTATGAGTAGAAATAATGCACATAAAAACAAACCACCTTCAGTACGTACTCATCATTTCTTGTTCTTTAATGTAATGTCCAATAAATAGAAACATAATTTAGATAAGAGATATACATATATATTCATACATTTTTAAAAAATGTTCTTATAGTTGGGCATTCAATATATTCTTTCAATTTCACTGAGAGTTTTAAAAAACTGACAGTAGTTTAAAGTCATAAGTATATTCTGGAATTCTATTTTGGAGTTTTCTTTAACTGAAAAAGGCATTTTTTCCAGTTATAATAGAGAAGCAGCAAAAGTTTTTTAGAAAACCAGCAGAGTGAACACTGCTGCTCATATCACCTTCTTGTCTCATCACACTACATAAGCATAAAGGTGTAACGACGCTTAACCCAACATGGAAGCTTAACTTTTTCAAAAATTTGTCCTAGTCCCACACCAAATTCAGAACAAATCCATAACAACTTCAGAGTGCATTTTACCATGTCCTTTTTGGGAGTCATTCATTCTGTAGAGATGTACATAAACACAAAAACAGCATAGCTTATTTCTGAATGAATAAATCAACCAAGATAGCTTTAAAATAACTCCATTTGCATTACTGATTTTACTACAGATAATGGATGGGAGCAAAGGAGTATCAATGATCAACGTCTGCTTTGTTCCTTCAGTATGCAAAAAGTTAATCAGCCCAATCCATTAAATGCAGTCCACATTTAGGTACCATAGTACGAAGTGCACAAAAAATGTCTTTCACTGGGGCCAACATAATGCACTTTGCAATGTGCTAACTTTCTACATGCCGTGCTATGTGGAGATCCTTCTGCTACTCCTCCGATTCTGGGAAAATGTCTATTTTAAACCTTCTTTCCGGTGAAATCACATACAGTTAACAACTTTAAATTATCCACAGCAGAGTTCTCTGTTTTAAAGGTTAATAGCATAATAGGGACTGGATATAAAACTGATTGGGCCTCTTTAATTATGCTTCCTTCATTTTAATGAAATCCCAAAGGGAAACCAGAACTAAAAGTTACTTCTCTCGGTCTCAGAGTGACTTAAAAATGAAAGAAGAAGCAGTTGCACTACCTGAAGTATTTAATGTGACTGTTTTGTGCTCCTCTGCCCAGTTTTTCCAAAGCATAGCAGGCTTCTCCTTTCTGCAAACCGATATCCACCTCCTGCTAATGCAACTGGTTTTCCAACACAGCTAGTATAAATATGTATAATCAATATATATAGTTTGCATATAAATATATAAATATTAAACAACACACTTCAGAAGCTGCAAAAAAAGTTTTTTACAGCTATAATGCAGTTGCCCATGACCACTAGGGTGTGAATCTTGAAGGCTGGTTAAGATACAGGCAACACTCCTCATGGTGGTATCTTCTCCAAAATGCTGAGAATTTTACATGCTGTTGCTCATGGCCAGATAAAGGATTTCCTTATGAAAATTTGCCTGTGCATTTACCAGATGAAAGAGATTAAGAAAGCTGCTGTCTTCCTCATCGTGCTCCCCTAAGTGAAATAAACAAGAGGTAAAAAAAAAAGACATACTTTTATGGAAACAGATTTTGCAGAATCTGCTTAAAAAGTACAAGTCTGTGGACTATTCTTAGTGGCTACCCTATCTGTGCTATATTAGTGATTTGTGACAGCACTGATTGCATTGTTGTAAACATTTAATGGCAAGTAGCAAGCCAATAGCTCACGCTGCTGCATATTCATAGTGATTGGGTAGCAGATATTAAGTTTTAATTCACTTCTGCAGTGTGAAGCCATTTAGAGAATTACACATTTATAAGGAGACTCTACTCTTGGTGTTCACAGAGCTTAATTTGAGCTAGTACTAGAAACTGGGTTGTTCCTTTTTTTTTTTTAACACAGGTTGAAAATTGCAGGAGTCCAACTTCAATATTTTGAATAAAAACCCAGTGATGATCAAGGGTGAATTTGTTTTTCAAAAAGACAAGGAAGTAGAACAGAAGAGAATACAATCACAAATCCCAAGCACAAAAAGAAATATATGTTCTGTTAGCTGCCCTGAGGGCCAGACAACACAATGTATGAAACACATTGCTGTGGTTTCCCCCACCCCCCACCCCCAGTAAAGTAATAATTATGAGCTCAGGATTGGGAACACTGAAGGTGCAGAGAGGGTTTTAGACATTCACAATGCAGCCCTGATGAAAATCACTCCCTGGAGATTGTTCGCTATTTGCCCTTGCTATTGTCACTCCATGACAGCACTGCGCACAAGTCAAATAGCAGCCTCCATGGGGTTTTTTCTCTCCTAGACTGTGGTGTGTGTAAGAGAGGGGTGGGTGGGAGAATTAACCCTTGCTAACAGGTTCCTAATCCTGAGTCTCCTTGTCATGGCTGCTATTTAATTGCCCACCCCCTGAAAATCAGGTATGCTAAATGCAATTATACATTTAATGTATTGTCTGATTTAGCCCTCAGGACTGTAACACTGAAGGGCAGGATACAAATGAGGCTCTTAATCTCAGGTTTGTGGGTTTGAGCCCCATGTTGGGCAAAATATTCCTGCATTGCAAGGGGTTGGACTAGATGACCCTTCTGTTCCCTTCCAAATCCACAATTCTATGAACTATTATTAATTCCTGAATAAAATATTGTCATAGGTGAAAGACAGTTTAACAGCATAGGTCTCTAGAACAAAGATAGGGAACCTCTAGCTTTCCAGGTGTTGTTGGTCTGCAACTCCCATTAGTCCAGCCAACATGGCCAATGGTCAGGGAATATAGGAGCTGCCATCCAGCAACATCTGGAGGGCCAGAGAGTCCCTATTCTGATTCTAAACTATTGCAAATACTACTTCCTATTTTATTTATTTGTTTCTTTGTTAAGAGATTTCTGTACCACCATTCACCAGAAATGGGCACAGTGTGGTTTACAAAAATAAGATAATATGAATTGTTGTTGTTGGCACCCGTCTTTCTCGAGAGACAATGGAGTGCACCTACACGGGTGAAGTCAAACCTCTGCATTAGGCTCCCTAGTGGCCTCCCTAGGGTGCAAGCCTGAGCAGTGTGTGTGTGGAGGTCCTGGGATGCCCAGACAACAAGACCCCCCTCTTGGCCTTACTAATGTGGTCCAAAGGAAAGCAGAGCAAGATGTTTGGCACCAGCTTGGCTGCAGGAGTTGCCAGAAGGAGGCGTACAAAAACATTACAATTATTATCATTAATTGCATAATTAAGAACATAAAAATGACTTTAAATGATATTTTGGAGTATGCGAAAGAGGAACCCTAAACTCAGGAAGACGTTTTATCAGAATATAGAATCACAGAGTTAGAGAGTTGAGGAAGACTTTGAAGGGCACCTCATAAAAAAACCCTGGAAATTTGTAGTTACAGCATCCCTTATAGGGGACCATCCAACCTCTGCTATAGGGCTGCCATATGTCCTGATTACTGAGTTTTCCTATAAAACAATTAACAATTTTGGGGTCTTCCTAAAAAAATAAATAAAAGCTCAACAACCTTCAGGGTGTCCTGGTTTTTACTTTTGGCAACCCTAAAGACCTCTTATGTATATGATCTAGCAAACCTGCTACGTGTGCTATCTGTCTGACAGAGCTCTCACTTCAGAGCTCAGCCAAGCAGCCTTGAGACAATGCATTCAATGAAACTATTTCCTGCACCTAGACTATCTAATTTGTGTGAAAGGCTATCCGGGCACTTGTGAATTTACATGGAGCAGAGGCACCCAGTGAAACTAGCTGACAGGGACAAGCAGTAATTAAAGAAATGAGCAGGTGACAACAGTTCTGCTACCTGTAGGATTTCTTACCGGATATCACAGACTGCAGTGCGTCCATGATAATGTGTGCAAAAGAATTCTCCACGCCTTGCAGGAAGTTGTTCCTTTCACCCGGAGTACTGAAAACCTTGCAGACTTTTTGCATCATTTTAACAGCCCAATCCATGCAGTAGAGGTCCTTCTCACATACCTGGGACAAGAACAGAAAATATTAATGACCATTCAATTGATGGGATGGACAGCAGTTGTTGATCTTTGCTTCCTCCCTTTTCACTTCAAAACATCAGTGATGGGGAATCTATGGCCTGCAGATTGGCCCATCAGCCTGTTTTGCAAAACCATGTCCACCTTTGCTGTGCTTGACATCATATATGACATCAGGCACAGGAAAGTTCAAGCCATGGCTAAAAGGAAGATGTGTGCTTTAAGTGTACTGCCAATTCTTCCTTTGCAGGCAAAGGTCAGCACTTTCTGTAAATTTAGTAATATTATACCCAGCATTGCTACAGTGCTTTCAAATGTTCAAAGTGATTTACATAATCTTTACAACAACCCTGTGAGGCAGACTGGTATGAGTATCCTCATGTCGTAGAATAAAGGGCCACTGAGTGAGGTCATGACAGAAGTGAGACCTGAACCAAGAGCTTTCCGATTCATAGCCCAGTTTTTTAGCCACTGTACCATGCTAGCTCTCAGCAGGGATTGGTTTGCTCACTCTTGCATGAAAAGCGGTATCTACCCTCTTCTTCTGTGCAACAATTGAAGGTACAGAAGTCTGTCATCCCCACACCCCGCTGCATTTGCTTGCCTGACAGAAAAAAGCAGGAAGATGCACTTGTTATCTGTACTAATTTGCCAGACATCACAGAGTAGCTCTGACACATATTGTAATGCAGGCAGAATGTGTTAGATGCAGGGCATTTTGACACATTTTTCGTGTGTGTGTGTGTGTGTTGGTTGTGTGTGTGTCTGGCGTGCAGATTCCAACTAGCCTAAATGGGAACCAGGCTATTAAGAGAGTAAAATGTAGCTGCAAAACCCAAATGAATTATTTCTCCAAAGGGTGTTGTACAAAACAAATGCTTTCCCTACTTAAGAGCAAAATCGTGCAGTGGGCAATACGCAAAGCGACATACTTGGATGCTGCCATAGAAACACCCTAAGGCAGGATAATTAGCCTTGCAGTATTCACAGAGATAATATTAAACTGTCTCTTTAAAAACTTTGCTGCAATTTTGTTAATTTTGGCAAGTAGCCTGAACACTGTAATAGAAAAGCTGGTGCAAAAGGGCCAAATTAAGATGACATTAAACGTCTCTAGTTTTGTCTTCTTCTAAATAACAGGCAACAGAGAGGGAGAAGATAGTAATTAGGATCAATACTGTAGGTCATAAGGAAGAAGTTATCCCACCTGCTGTGGTCTTGATAGAAATCTCTCTCTCTCTCTCTCACACCCACCCACCCACCCACCCACACACACCCGAGCTATTAGGCCTGGGAGGCAGCTTCCTTTGATACCATTTCCTTCCCATGCCAAACAACAGTTTCAAGGAGGAGGTGTTTAATCAACACTGTGGTGGAGTGCAAAGTGTTGGCTCCTCCTCCCCAAATGCTATTGTGTCAATCATTTCTCCCCATCCCTGGCCATTCATAGCGGCCAGCTCCTAGGGTCCAAGGTCCCTTCGCTCCCCCCTAAAAGATTTGAGGGGGCCGCCCCCTCCAAAGTTGATGGCCATTGCCATTAAAATTGTGTGTGTGTGTGTTGCATCATGTGATTGATTGTGTGGGGTAGGGCTTACCTGCCCCCCCCCAATATTTTATTCAAGTTGGCACCCCTGGCACCCGTTATTTTAAAGAAAAAGTAGCCATTAAATGCAATGGTGCATTTAACATCATGATTAACAACTGCAGCTCAGTGGTAGAGCATATGTTTTGCATGCAGAAGTATCCCCCAGTCCAGGTTCAATCTTTGCTATCTTGAGGAAGGGCTGGGTAAAAAAAACAAAACCCAAAAAACCAAAAGAAGCCTGGAACTCTGGAGAACTTCTGCCAGCCACTGTCAACAATACCGGGGTATGTGAATGTTCTGACTTGGTATAAGGCAGCTTGCTGTCATGTTTCTATGGACAGTGAGTGTGGCTCTTTGATATGCCTTAATTTTTGAAAAAGGTACTACAAGAGAAGGAAAGTTGCCTGTTCATTGCTACTCACCAAAGCCAGGAAAACCACCAGCCTTGCCAGTTCGATAGCTCGACCGTTCACAGCTTTACTAGCCATAAAAGTGAAGCAGATATTGTTTCCACACAAGATAAGGAGCCGGGCACTGTTTTCCAGAAGCCAGTCACGGGGAACCACTGTTATCAAAATAAGATTTTTTTAAAAAGATATTCAAAGCATTTTAAAAATACGTCTTATGTTACTTCACCTTTTTTTATATATAAAAAATGCTCCCTTTGGTAGTTGTATTTCCTCAAGATACAATACAGCACCAATAAAGCACATCTAACCAACAAATCAGATAATAAAAAATATGAGCTACAAAACCAACCAGCTTCTCAGCCAAGCAATAATGCCAAAATCCCAAAATATCTGGAACAACCTACTACAGAGAGTAAATAGAATCCAGCACCACTCTGTCTCCTTTTACTGTTAAAATAAGACAGACTTCCCCAACCAGGTGTTCTCTACATGCTTTCCTACATCTTCCAATCAGCATCTCCTACTTTATCTGTGTCCAGATCCCCATCTCCCACTGTGAATGGAGAAAACACACCTAGTTTGGCCCTCAGAGCCAATCTGCGTAGTCAGTGAGTCATTCCGAATTGTGAGTAGCATGTATCTTGGCTGAGTGCCTGCACATTGCAAGATGGCTGTGTTATTGCTTCACCTTGTGCCGGCATTGTAAGTTTCCCAGTTTGTGGCCACAGCTTATTGCACCACTGCCAAGTAATCGGGGGGCATGTCAAACTATAGGTCTGGGCACATACTGAAATGTCATGTTCAGTGAAATTATCCTGCCATCCAAGCAAAACACTCAGTCTAGACAGAGTCAGTTCACAATTCATCACCAGCCTTGAGTCATGTGAACTGGCTCTGAATGTGGCTATGTCATAATATTCCGGATTCTTAGGAGAATGAGTAGAAGAAAGGCAGTACTGTACCTGAAAGTTCATCCAACAAACTGATGACATCATCTGCCGTCCACTCTTTTGCTTCTGTGTCATACAGTAGTTTAATGGCATCTGCCAACCCTTTCAAACTGGTTTCGTCTGCTGGACCGTCAGTCGTTTTCTGCCAAACCACATGCCCTGAATTGCATTAACGACAACAGTAACTCAGTAGAGGTGACTGCACAGCACACTACACACAGACACACACACACACACACACACACACATCAACATTGTGGGGTTAGGACTGTGGCAAAATTACCACAACTCTTTTAAAAGTTAAGTAGTATTATAACTAATATTTTAATCCTCCCCCAAAATGGATTGGAAATATAGAAGATAAATGTTGAATTAGGGTAAGGTATGTGGGTTACGCGGGTGGCGCTGTGGTCTAAACCACTGAGCCTAAGGCTTGCCGATCGGAAGGTCGGGGGTTTGAATCCCCGCAATGGGGTGAGCTCCCATTGCTCAGTCCCAGCTCCTGCCAACCTAGCAGTTTGAAAGCATGTCAAACTGCAAGAAGATAAATAGGTACTGCTCTGGTGGGAAGGTAAACGGCGTTTCCATGCACTGCTCTGGTTCACCAGAAGCGGCTTAGTCATGCTGCCCACATGACCCGGAAAAACTGTCTGCGGACAAACGCTGGCTCCCTTGGCTAGTAAAGCGAGATGGGCACCACAACCCCAGAGTCGGTTGCGACTGGACTTAACCATCAGGGATCCTTTACATTTACCTATGTGGATTACTAAAATGAAAGTGACTGGAAAAGGTTTTTCTTCAAAGTCAGTGTTAATGTATTACAGTGCTCCAGTCCGATTTTGTTCAAGCAGCATTTTGCTAATATTTTAATATTAAAAGATATATAGCCAGATAGGCTCCATATTGCTAATCAGAAGATTGATGGAAAAATTAATGAGGATATGAAATGCCTACCAGGAAGGTTATATTGAGTGTGTGCTGAGTTGCAATAGAGTCACCTGTCTACATCAGAACTGTGCCTCCTTAAAAGATGGAAGTGTCACGTTAAGGGCATTTAAACCTGTGTAGGATATCATGTTACTCTTCTGAACGTCTCAAAAAGAGTCAGACTTTCTTCAGAAGAAAAGGCAAAAGCACTGGGAAAACATGAGAGGGCTACAAGTGGCTGATGATGCCATGTGAACCCCCCCATAAAATGTGAGTGAATGAGTCACACTAAATGCCTACCAATGCTTTGGTGTCAGGTACAATTGACAGCACTTGCTTTTTCACGCAAGGTGACTTTGTTAAGTTTCCTGCAAAATTGACATGAGGGAGCAGTAGTCTATGGGCATGGAGAAGCACTGCTGTAAACTAGACATTGTATTTTGGAAAAAAGAAACATAGCTGTGTAAGAAGACACAGATGGGAAATAATATGGTGGAGGGGTGAAATGACAGGAAAACGAATCTTTCCGCACACTAAACTGTGAAAATCTGTCAAGCACTTTCTTTACTAGCTGAGGCAGGCCAAGTCTGGGGGCAATGTGTAAGATGGTGCCTTCCTTGCAAATGCCAAAGTTCATCAATCAAATTGTGCCTTTCTCTTCTCCTAAGGAGAGGGCATGAAACAATTACAATGCCTGTCTACTGTAGCATAAAAGGTTAGAAGCTGGTTCCACACCTAACAAGGACAGTCTTTTCAACAAGAATGATGTAAATCAGAATACTTTCATGATGCTTTCCCTAATACAGTGGTACCTCGGGTTACATACGCTTCAGGTTACATACACTTCAGGTTACAGACTCCGCTAACCCAGAAATAGTACCTCAGGTTAAGTACTTTGCCTCAGGATGAGAACAGAAATCGTGCTCCAGCAGCGCGGCAGCAGCAGGAGGCCCCATTAGCTAAAGTAGTGCTTCAGGTTAAGAACAGTTTCAGGTTAAGAACGGACCTCCAGAACGAATTAAGTACATAACCAGAGGTACCACTGTACACTGAGGAGTTCTTGCAATTGCTATAAAATTTTAGGGTACACACACACACACACACAAAGCTGACACACAATCCACAGAAAACCAATCCTTCTCCCTCTAAAATTTAGGAAATATTCCCTGAAAAAAATTATACATTATTTTCGCACACAGAACAATCTTGGTTCTCCTAATGACTCTAAATATTTCAGAAGAGAAATATTTCTGCAGAAGAGAAACCTTTCCCAATAATACTTTCTCTTCTAAATACTTCAAATCCTGCCTTAAGGGCATATTTTTATATGAATAGGGTGGTCCTGTGACCTGGGTTCAAGAACTAAAGTATTTACTATCTCAAAATAATGGCCAGACTGCCCAGGTAATGCAATCACTAAAACATTATCAGGTATCCTGGCAGACAGGAGAGAAGCCACACACTCAAATTTCTGTGGTAGACCTGCCTCTTTCTGTGATGTATGCATGATGCTTTTAGGGTGGTCTTTCGCTAAGGGGTTGGACAATGTCTAATGTCTTAAAAGGGGCTTGCACATATTTGTTCTGGGTCTCTCACCTCCTTGCAAGGGGTGGGGGAGGGACTTTGTTGCAACAGAAAAATAAAGATTTGCCTTGCTTTCCCTGAATCCTGCCTCCATCCATTATTCTCTGACCCATCATGGACTTAGGGGAATCAAAGTCCCTTGGGGAGTTGGACAGCAAAAGCCAACCCCAATTCTTTCTGCAACAAAACATTTGGAATTGCATAGGCAGAATTTACAGGTAGCCTACCCATATATTTCTACCTATGTTATAGATTCTGTGCCTTATTACTTAAAACAGCTTACCATCCAAGTTAGAGGCAGGCCCAAACAGTATATATAGTAGCCGGGCTTGATTTACCATAGGCCATGGCTTTAAAATACGTGTCAGCCAAAATGCTGAATCACTCCGATGAATCCAGTGGTTCAAAAGAACACTGCGGCAAAAGATCCTTATCCTCAGCTCCAGTTTTCGGGCACTTCCTAAGACATTAAATCAACATGTAGGAATCAGCCTTGGTACAGAATAGTCCGGTTTTACATTGCTGCAAATAATAGCAGAAAGTGAGTTCTACAGACTCAGGCTGCGAGAACATTACTGGTTTAAAACACAGCTAGGTCACAGAATTGTAGGATCGCAAGGGTCATCCAGTCCACCCCCCTGCAATGCAATCTCAGTTTCAATTGAAACTGGCTTGGGGGAAATGCAGGAAAAGGCAGCATTCTGTAAGAAGCAACAGGGCTAATACAGATAGATAGGGTTTGTGGCTAATGTTGTGTATATAAGGTAAAGGTAAAGGGACCCCTGACCATTAGGTCCAGTCGTGACCGACTCTGGGGCTGCGGCTTTTATCTCACTTTATGGGAGCTCACCCCATCGCTGGGATTCGAACTGCCGACCTTCTGATCGGCAAGTCCTAGGCTCTGTGGTTTAACCCACAGCGCCACCCGCGTCCCAATGTTGTGTATATACCGCTTCCTAAAACGGGGGGGGGGGGGCACACTGGATGCAAAATAAATGGGAGTATGTACACAGTCTCAGAGTCAAGGATCTTGCCCTTGCCTCTATGCCTTCTGAATTCAGAACAAGAGGGTTGTAGGACACCATTCTCCCTCACACGGTGTATTTACCAGGTTTGCTGCCGACAACTGTCTGCACTCTCCGGGGTAAATTACTCAACTCACAGAGGAAGTTATAAACCCGATGACATTCTAATTCATCCCAACCTGCTGTTAAAGTCTGAAAACATTACAGAGAAAAACAAAAACAAAAGTAGATACATAAACATCACCAAATCACTTTGATAGGTCCAACATCTCTTAGCTATGTATATATTTTTTGTGTACAGTATTCTAATATTACTCAGTTCTGAGCTCTAGTTGCCTGACTCTACTGTCCTTGGGAGAGAGGCAATGAAATTAATGCAAGCAGCCAGGGGAAACTAGCAGAAGTAGAGGGCTGACAGGGGAGACAGATACTAATCCTCCAAAGATGAAGAGCTGCATCAAATACCTGGGAGGCAGTGAAAGAGTTATAGCTCTGCCTTTACCAACAACAGGAAGAAAATGAAACATCAAACAGTAATAGTATAAAGCTATAGAACGAACTCTTTGTTGCAGAGAGAATATCACACCATCAAAAGGGAGTTGAGGCTCCTACAAGTAATCTGAGAGCTGGGAACAAGGTAAAAAGGTAAAGGGACCCCTGACCATTAGGTCCAGTCGTGGCCGACTCTGGGGTTGTGGTGCTCATCTTGCTTTATTGGCCAAGGGAGCCAGTGTACAGCTTCCGGGTCATGTGGCCAGCATCTGGCCAGCATTCTGGCGAACCAGAGCAGCGCACGGAAACACCGTTTACCTTCCCGCCGGAGCAGTACCTATTTATCTACTTGCACTTTGATGTGCTTTTGAACTGCTAGGTTGGCAGGAGCAGGGACCGAGCAACGGGAGCTCACCCCATTGCGGGGATTCAAACCGCCGACCTTCTGACTGGCAAGTCCTAGGCTCTGTGGTTTAACCCATAGCGCCACCTGCATCCTTTGGGAACAAGGTAGGGGGGTCCATATATCCACACAGTAATACAGGTGGGAAAATTAAGATTCCCAGGACAGATGGAGGCATATTTTTTGTCCATTCCAGAACCTCACAGTCATAAATTCAGGTCAGAAGGATTCCGTCAGAAGGATTTTGTAGCGACACTCATTTAAAGCAAATTTTACAGTGTGCACCAATATTTCCAAATTACTTCTTGAAAAGTGAAGTATTGGGTATTTTCCCCATGGGAACATCCTCAGTGATCTTTAACAACCCAGTTCTCCCTCTTTCTGTCACACAGTGATTCGGAGAAATGAATGGAATAAGACTGACTTCTGATTATGATTTCTATGACACATCAGTGCAATTAGCATTTTGGAAAATAACAGACAACCTCTCTGCTAACTCATATTTTTATCTGTGATGACCAAAAATAGGAACTACAGGTCCCCAAAACTTTGTTTTGTTTCAAAGCAACCACAGAACCCAAATGCTTTTCTCCCTTAAAGTATCCTTTACCTGTAAAAATACTCCGTAACACTGTAGTCCTAAACAATGAAATGGATCTGAGCAGCCACTAAATTTAAAACAGGAAATCTATAAAGATAAAAGAGGGGTGGGACCTTCAAATTACTAGGCATTTTAGGTAGCATAAGGCAATTTGCATGTGCACATGTACAAAGGTGGGTTTTTAAAAAAGCTGTTATGCTTACTTCTGAAAGTATCTTGTGTATGTACTTCAATCTCTCCTTTGTAGGTAGCAATAAAGTACACCTTTTTAACAACAGGCCTGCAAAGAAAGAAAAAAGCACACAGGAATATTTTGAAATATAATATTCTGAATTGTACTGTATTGCCAAACCCTGCACGCCCGTGCTGTTAGGAGCCAGAAGCCCGTTTATTTAATGAACTAAATAATAGGCTACACACTGTTAATAGACAGCTAGTTAGGATAGTCAGATGACAATGACTTTCCTTCTTCTGTTTCCAGTAAATCATTTCCTGAACTACCCTTCCCATTCTAAGCTTCCTTGCTTTTCTGCTGTCACTATACTTCCTTCTTTCTTTCCGATCCTCCTACTCACTCAAATTTTTCTAATCCTACTACTCACTCAGAACTGTGTTCTTCTTTCAGGATTGAGGTTTTTGAGCTTTTTTTAGTATTTAAGTTTTTGAGCTTTTTTGGGATTGAACTGCCACGGGGTGGGCCAGATTAGGCCCCCAAAAAGGACTTTGGACATGCCTGACTTAGGCCCTCTGAGCAGGACAGCGCTGAGTGCTCCATACAGCCTCTCTGGCACACAACAGGTATTACACAAATGTTTATTATTAGCATTGGTAGTTGTAAATTGATTAGTTTCATTTACTTAAAATGACTGTTTGGACTTAAAGCCACATCAGCTGGATAAAATGAAAGTGCTCCAGATTAATTGGTTTATGGATCAGTCTGTAAAGCTGAAATCCTTTGAGGCCTCTGCCAACTTTGGCTCCTTGTGTTGAGAGTTGCACATCAAAGCACCTCAGAAATGGTTGTTGTTTTTAAAAGGTCATGTAAATAGCATTTCAAGCCTTGCAAGAAAGGTTGTGTCAACTGTAAAGTGACAGTTACTAAAAATATTTATATTAAAAAGAAATACAAAAGAATCTGAAAGTACACTGGGGGAAACTCAGCTAGCCTTGTCCATCATGGAAAGAAGAGCTTTTGACTTTCTTCCAAGCCATGTTAGAGGATATATTATTCTGAATTATTATGGCATAGCACACAAGGAAGCAACATCAGAGTTGTTTTTTTGATGTAGAATTTGGAACAGCTTGTTTGTAGTAGGGGAAAATATTTCTCAGCCAGTGGAAACTTATGGTTTAAATTTTTATTTTAAAAAACTAGGTCAACAGTGTATTGTTCAGGAAAACTGGTAGCGAATTCTGAGTGGGAATGCTGGAAATATATTTGGGGGACAGGCAAAGAAGGCTGAGGGGTGAAACTGTAAAAGAGCTTTTTTGCTCATTCAGCTGCTGAAACAGAGAATTAATGCCACGTAAGGGCTAAGGACTTGGAACATAGTCCTTTGTCCTGTGTTCATATCCCTGCTTAGCTATAAAACTCACTTGGTGACCATTTTGCTATCCCAGAAGGAGCAACACATTTTGATCATTTTGTAGTGCTGTTTCCCCTGGCCGCCAGCCATGCTGCCTGGGGCTGATGGGAGTTGGAGTCCGACCACATCTGGAGGGCCCAGATAACTGTAACTTTTTGTGTACAGTTCTGGTTGCCTTATCTGAAAAAGGGTATTGTAGAGCTGCAAAGGTTTCAGAAAACAGCAACGAAAACAACACTTAGGGCTTTTTAGTTAGTTTTTTTTAAGGCAAGTAAGAGAGGACATGATAAAGGTGTATGCATATTGTGGAGAAAGTAGCTAGAAACTCTTCTCTCTCTAACATAATACCCATAGCCATTCAGTGAAGCTGAATGTTAGAAGATTTCGGGCAGACAAAAGAAAGTATACCACACATTTTAAAGTATGGAAATTGCTCCCACAAGCTATAGTGGTGGTCACCAATTTGAAGGCTTTAAGAGATGATTAGCAAATTCATGGTGTATGAGGCTATGTTCTACCTCCACTGGGACTCACAAACAAGGGAGAGCGCCATTATATTCATGCCCTGCTTATGGGCTTCTCATATAGGCATCTGGTCAGTCACAGTGAGAACAGATTGCAGAACTAGATGGGCCTTGGGCTTGATCCAGCAAGGCTCTTCTTGTGTTCCTTTTGTAGAAGCCATCTTTCAAAAGTGGGAAACTTGGGTTGCTGTGACCATCACAGACTTGCTGAACTACATGGGCATTATTCAATTCCTAACTTTGTACATGGAACTGATTTCTCTTTTTTTGCAGGATGTAGCAAGGGTAAGTTACAACTAAAGACGTAGAGGCCATCTTGGCTCTGGTCCTGGAACATCTGCTCCTAGCCTTGCAGGCCTTTTCCCAACTAGACTGGGAGAGTGGGGCCCTGACTGACTCCAGCTACAAAAGCTGAGGCTGCGGAAAAGATTCTTGGACTGAGGTGTTGTTGCATGGGTGCTGTTGCAGGTGGGCAGGGGGAGGTTGCTGCTTTTACTGATTTTTTAAAAAATATCTTTATTTTAGATCTCATGATTAATGTGGAAATTGTTTGATTTGATGTTTTATTTATTGTTTGTGACTACTTTTGTTACATTGTCATTATCTATTTTTTCATGTTATAAGCCACCTTGAGCTTGGCTTGAAGTATGGAAAGGTGGCATACAAATAAAATTATGTATGTAAAAAGAACTACTGTTCTCCTTTTTTTGGTCTTTCATTGTAAACCAAAGAAATTTCCAGCAAAAGTCTTTGAGACTTGAGATTTATGCTCATCTGTTGAGAAACTAACCCTTGTTCACTATATGACTGAAACTGGATCTGGATTAATTGCCATAGAGAAATTACCCTCCTATTCTGCTCAATAATATTTCCCTGTTATTTTAAAAGGATTCAATTCGTATCTGTGTTCTTATTCTCCAGTTAACCAGGATCTTGAATCCTGGCTTCTTTTTATTTGATTGAAATCTATTTTTGTGTCCCTGGAATAAAAATAAAATAAAAAATTGTTGTTGTTGTCACCTAAGGATTTGTAGTGTTCTAGCATGGAGAATCCTTTCCTACAGCCAGATAGCTCAGGATTATGAAAGTCCTGCCGCAAAAGTCTTCGGTTTCCTGTAGGAGTTGAGATGTAATTAATAAGGCGGCTGCTGATAGTCTTTGATACCATGCTTAGCATGCTGATATCCTTCACTGAATAAAAGGAGGAAAAGAAAAAGAAAAACACACACAACCATGAGCCCTTATTCTCTAGAAAAACATTGTTGCTTATCAAGTCAATAATTCACTTTATCTTAGACAAAGGGTGGCCTGAGGATTCATTGTGGCCCCCAGTGACTTAGTATCATACCTTCAGACCTCAGCTAATTTTTTCCCATCACAAGACACAGGCAAATAGCTCTTTTGCCCTTTCCTCTCACCCATATGAGGTTCAACAGAAACATTTTCCCAGAATCCTTATTATGAACTTCAGGATGCTGACTATTCCAAGACCATTGTTGCTCTTACAAATTAGTTGACAAGCTGGGCTCACAATGTGGTTTGTTCCCCTTGATGCTGCACTGCTGGGAAAGAAGCAGTAGGCTGGGCTGGGCCTGAGGAGCAAGCCAAGGAAAATTTTTTGCTTGTTTCCTGGCAGTGCAGCAGGAGCAGGGGATGAGTGAAGCACCTGCAACTAGCATGCCACTTGCTCACATTAAAACACAGTTTATTTTAACTATGTTTTAATGTGATATGTGAACCAGGCCAATGACAAGACACAGTTTAATCATGTGACTAAGTACGGTAAGTCCTTCTGTTTCCATTGTTCAGGCTGTGAGTGCTACTGCTTATATATAGTCAAAATGGCACAAGAATAAAAGGGACACAGGGGAACCCACAGCTGTGCAGAAATATAACACATCTGGGGTGGAGGCAGGACTCTAAATGGAGGAGGGGAGAGCCAAAACACCCCAGTGAGAACTGAGTGTGCTCAATGGCTGCATAATGCTGGGATGACTGTTGAAGAGAGGAGAGAAAGAAGAAAGAAAGAAAGATAATCAAGTGGAACAGAATGGCTAGAACCCTGAACAAGAGCAATCTCCACTGCAACATTTTGTCGCAGGCTCCAGTTGTCTTCTAATTCCAGTTTCTTAGTCTGAAAGTTGATGTCTCATAAACAGGAACTTAGCATTTCTGCAATGTTGCTGATTATGTTTCGGCAGCTTTATTACAATGCCTTCCATCCCATTGTCCTCTCTGCCCCTTAATTGTTGGAGCCTTTCTCCCTTTAATTAGTTAAATCTGATTCTTGTGCATATTCATCCATCCACCAAACAGGTATTTTGGGGAGGCAAGTAATTGTTTCTGACCTTGCACAACCCTACTTTTCAACTCCATAGAAGCCCTTCTGCACACTGCATAAGATACTGGTATATATGTACAGCAGGCAGGGGTGGGGACATTTTTCATCCCAAGGGCCACATTCTTTTGTAGGCAAGCTTCTGGGGGCCATATACCAGGGGTGGCCAGGACCAGATGCAAGAGTAGGCAGAGCAATGGGCACACCTCTTACCTTTGTACAGTAGGTTACATTCCGGCCATGCAAAAGTCGGAAGTTTTTATACCCACATATACCACACACCTCCCCACTCTCTTTCCAGGCAAGCAAGAGGCATTGCCACAGTTAAAGGCACATTCCAGCCAGGCAAAAGGAGTCAAAGAGGGTGTGGGAAAGAGTTCCTAGGGCTGAACCAAGAAACTAAAGGACCGCATTTGGTCCCAAGGCCTGAGGTTCCCCGATGTATAGAATAGGAGTCTACAGTATAGACTAGGAATTAACATTTTTTTTTACAAAAAAAACCCCAATGTAGGCACTCCATATTGAGAGGAAAAAACCACATCCAGTGGTACCTTGGTTTACGAACTTAATCTGTTCCGGAAGTCTGTTCTCAAACCAAAGCGTTCTTAAACTAAGGCGTGCTTTCCCAAAGTGGCAGGGGACTCAATTTACAAATGGAACACACTCAACTCCAAGGCAAAGTTCACAACCAAAACACCTACTTCTGGGTTTGCCGCATTCTTAATCCAAGTTGTTCATAAACTAAGCTGTTCTTAAACCAAGGTACCACTGTATATGTCCCAAAAACTTGAACAGCAGCATAGGGGCAATGAGTCCCGAACCAAAACAAGCCAAAGAAGTATACTACAGGACCACTGGTACAAAATACTCTGCATCTCAATAAACAATAACAGATCGCCACTGTCAATTATAAATGAGCAGCCTCGCCTGATAAACCAGACATAGTGGCTTGCCACATATGAACTGGCAGCTAATGTGGTATGCTACATTTGGCAAGTGGGGTAGAGCTTTCGTAGCAGATACATCACAAAGCCTCAAATTCTCACCTGGCAGATATTCTAAAACCATCTGAAAGATTTCTAAGGGGAGTGCTTTGAAATCCCCAAGGGTTGACAGAGATGGAGAATCTGCATCCAGGGTGCTGCTAAACTTGCTGGAACGACGGTAGCTTCGTCGATATTTCTGGTTTGGAATCAAGGTATAGCTGGTTCTTGCAGGATATGTCATCCTTCTTCCTCGGTTCATTAATCTAGCCTGAAATCGGGAGGGAAATCCACAGTATAGAGATAAGGAAAATTAAATCCACAGGAAAAATGAAAGGAACAATGAGCTCAAGGACTATAAAATGGCATGACTGGTATATATTACACAAACAGGGTAAGTAAATGTTGAATTTTATAAGTATAATATACAACACATCCATCATCCTTCCAAATCTATGAGTCGTTTTCTAGCGTCTACTGTTGTCATACATAAATGTGACGCCTCTGAAGTACTGGCAGTTCTTTGTTTTATAGCCAGAAGCTTTTCATTGAATTTACATTTATTTCCTCTAATCTGGAGAATCACAAGAGCAGCAAATACGTAGCAATAAGCTCACTTCTGCACTCACAAGCATGGAGTGGGCCATTCCATGTCAAGTGATCCAAAGTCTTTTACATTACCATTTTATTTTGCTTTCAGTTTCAGTTTCCTAAAAGTAGTATAAGAGAAGGTCCCAGATCTCAGTTTTTTGTTTTTTATCTCATCCTGTTACGAGGGTTTGAAAAAATTGACAATTTTGGCCTTGCTGGACTACACAAAAACCTTAAAAGCTCAGCCCAGAATTGAAATATTTCAAAACTAAAAATACAAATCTCTTCAGAACTTCATGGGCTTTAATATGATATGGCACGTGATGGACTTACTTTAAATTTTAAAGTTACATAATTTAAAATTTTAAAAAGTGATTAAAAAAGTAATATGATTAAACATTTCCATGAGCTTCATGCAAAATTTCATCTTGGGATCTCAATGGAATCACATTAGAATATATCTATTTTTTACATACATGTTGGCCTTATTGGGTTCTATTTAGGATAAATGGCTCTTCCTGGAGTAAAATATAACAGAATAAACAAGACTTCAAACCTATGACCAATATGGGTTTACTATCATTATACTCTAGGCCTCTAGAAAACCTGCTTAGTCAAGACAGGAGCCTAGAAAAATGTTTTGCACAACAAATCAATCATCATAATAAATGATGCTGTTTGTGCATATATCTGATTTATTCATAGAAAAGAAACCATAAACATTCAATATTTCTGACTTCTTTCTGGCTCTAAATGACTTGTAAATTCTCACAGCTTGAGAACCCATATTTGTTCCAGTAACAGTGCACAGATAATTTCTGAGCCCATGCACTTTTCGTTTTCTTCTTCTTTTGCAAAATATGCCTCAACAGAAGTACAATATTTGACGGCAGTGTCATTTTTTTTGGCAGATCTTTTTCTCTAGGTATTTTCTTTTTTCTTTTCTTTTTTACAAACAGGGTATCTTGGATTCAAATGATCCAATTTCCCACCAAATAAAGGCTAAAACCTCCAAAGGTAGTCGGGTAGTGGCATCTCAGTAAGAATGCCCAAACTTGGCAAAAGCCACAGCCTACAATGGGAAAAAATGTTTAGCAAATATACATATTCCAGAAGGAACGTGGGTGGCTGTAGTCTAAACCACTGAGTCTCTTGGGCTTGCCAATCGGAAGGTCGGTGGTTCGAATCCCCGTGATGGGGTGAGCTCCTGTTGCTTTGTCCCAGCTTCTGCCATCCTAGAAGTTCGAAAGCATACTAGTGCAAGTAGATAAATAGGTATCACTACGGCGGGAAGGTAAACGGCGTTTCTGTGTGCTCTGGCACTCATCACGCTCCTCCATGTGCCAGTAGCGGTTTAGTCATGCTGGCCACATGACCCGGAAAGCTGTCTCTGAATAAACGCTGGCTACCTCGGCCTGAAGCAAGATGAGCGCTGCAACCCCATAGTCGCCTTTGACTGGACTTAACCGTCCAGGTGTCCTTTACCTTTACATATTCCAGAAAGGCACTCGGTTTGCATGATTTATCTACTGTGTTAAAGCAGAAATCCCATCTATCAATGTTTACTCCGATTGAACTTAGTGTGAATTAACATGTGCCATCCTAAAAACACTTAATAAGAAATATTGACCTGAGTAAACTTGCATGGAATTAGGCAGGTACACTGTATAAAGGAACTTCAAAATAAGGAATACAAAAGTTAACTTCTTAACTCACAGCCTTGGGAATAACTGGAGAAACTCCAAAGTTCATCTTTGGATTAGAAGATACATACCACCACCTAGCTCCAACAATACCATATTTGCCCAAGTAATAAAATGTTGTTGTTTTTTAAAGATTGCTATGCTTCTTCCTAGTTAAACACTTTCAAAGAAGGTTACAACCAATTAAATATAGCATACAAAATATAAATGCAGCCTAAAACAACCTATCTTTAAAACACAAACAAAGCAACTAGAACAGAACAATCAATACTCCTTGATTTTGGAGTGAACACTCCTTTAAAGAGCTCTTTCCCCCAGCCCAGCTTCCTGTGAGGTGTCCAGGACAGCTTTACTGGCAGGGATTTCAGAGGTATGGTGTCACTACTAAAAAGACCCTGCCCTGTTCACTGCTAACCATACCTCATTAGGGAAGGTATACTCAACAGAGTCTCCACTAATGACTTTGATGACAGAGGAAGGTAGAAAATTAGTAGGGAAGGTGCCCCTTTGTATTACCCTGACCAAGACTGTTTAAGGCTTTAAAAGTCAACAACAGTACTTTGAATTGTGCCAAGAAATATACTGGCAGCAGACATACGAAGATTGGTCTCTGAGGCCATTTCTCGACAACCTGGGTGCTACGTTTTAGATCAGTTAAAGTTTCTGGACAGTCTTCAAAGGCAGACCCACGTAAAATGCATTATGGAAATAAAATTTTGAAGTTATTATATAATTTAGAAGGTATGTTAGATGGTGACACAAGCATTATAATATGGGAAAGAGAACAGTTGATGCACCAAACTTAACAAGAAAAAGGCACTCTGGACAGAAACTGTCAAGCTATAACGCTGGATCCATGAACATTGAAGTGCTGTAAGAACAGGTTGCCCACCCACACTCAAATTGACAGGTTCACCTACCGTCAACTGGTTCACCTACCGTCAACAGCTCAGTCTTAGCTGGATAGAACTTCTTTTTATTGGCCTTTATCCAGCTCATTATTAACTCCAGACAACTTGTTCAGGGATTCCAGCACCACCTTGCCAAGAACTGAGGAAGATACAACAGATTATAATCAGCCTATTGCTGGCAATGAACTCCAAATCCTCAAATTGCATTTCTCAACACCTTCATGTACATGTTGAATAAGGTGGAAGAAAATACAAAACCTTGCAGCAACACAAGGGTCATCTCCCATAGGGCCGAGCAACTGTCTCCAGTCACCTTGTGGAATCTACCTGGCAGATAAGAGTAGAATCATGGTCAAATTTAGACAAGTAATTCAGAAAGATATAATAGATTATACTGAAAACTGCCGATACAGCGGTCCAGAACAATAAACATGGAGACAATAAACTATTCTAGACTGTAAATACATGTGAGAAGCAAGGCATAATATTTCATTTTTGTAAATGTTTAAGATCTGTCACTCGTTGATTTTTTAAAAAATTGCCGCCTTCCTGTTCTCAACACATTCTAGTTTTAAGTCTGTATTTCTGTATCCAAAAGTAGAGCCCTTGGCCCACATTAAATACTACCAGAACCTGTGGCAATTCTTCATTTTGACACAACCCCGCGATAATGTTTGCCCTCTTTGAAGTGAGGCACACACACACACACCTCAGCCCTCTGTAGCATCCCATGAAGCCCTTGCTACAGAACCTGTCAGATCGTGAAGACAGATTTACGACTCCTGAAAATAAACGTATATACCAGTGTTCAATGAGTCTCAGTTTAGTGCTATGTTGTGCACAGAGCAGCAATTTGAACCGGCATCTCTCATATTCAAATCCCACCCTCTTGGCCCTCACAGGTGGATAAAATGAGATGAGGATATGACAAATTCAGTTACAATAAAATACAAAGAGAGAGAAAGAGAGATAAACCTGCTTTAGCTATTTTAACCCTATTTTAGCTGCCTCTCACCCAGTGTGGCTAAAGATAAAAACCTTCAGTTTTGTGTGAGGCAAAGCATATAGACATGCCACAGAAGCGGGGGAGGGGACACCTAGGCCTACTGCCTCAATTTAAAATTGCAGCAATCTACTTTGGGCTATTTTTTAAAAAAAAGAATTAGTATTTCACTTTGCAGAGTATCAATGACGATATTACGGGAGTTTAGGTTTTCTCCGCATATGTCGTTTATCTGAGGGAAAAAATTGAAGGGTGCTCTGTTAAAATACGGCATCTGCCTGCCTGTCAGAATTGTCAGAGTAATAAAACGCTTGTATTCAGAATTAATGAAGTGTTATGAGGAATAACAGCAGCTGTGTTGGTTCCACAGAGCAATAAACAGAGTGAGCGAGAGGCTGCTTTTTATAATTCATGCATTTCCCTTGATTTTGAACATCCCACCTCATGGAAATAAAATAAAAAATATTTTTTTTATATAAGTGCACCACTAATTTCCCCTAATAGATAGATAGATAAACAGATATTGTTGTGGGATGAAATATCCTTCCATCCACCAAAGCATCCATTTTCTAGGCATATTTGAATCGTACTCATTTAAGTACGATTTAGCATCGATAATGTTTTACTTCTCGTCATTCTGAGAATGCTCTGTACATAACTTTTTGTTTGTTTGTTTCCCACCCCCCACTTCCCCCCTAATACAAAAAAGGTGGTTCTGTCAAAAGATAACACAGCTGTGTGCGCCTGCGTTTATAAAAGCATGGCAGGCCCTCATTTACCACAGGAATGTCCTTTCTCTCAGTAGCAGAGCCGAATTAGTTAAGCCCCTTTATAACATCTTTCAAACTTCCCGCTTTCCCGCCACATACGGGGAATCAGAGATCTCCTGCCTTCCTGTCTGATCACGCCCCCTAACCAGGAATACTATGTTTTGCAGCGTTTCATGTGATGTTATTTAAACACACACCTTCCCCTTCGGCTTGAGACTCCTTCCTCGCCCTCCCTCCTCCCAAGCCATGGGTGAATTGGGCGCGCTCCTTTGTAAACAAGCCGCTGGGGGAACACCTGTGTCGCTTCCCTATATAGGAGTAATTCACGAGGAGCGGGTTCAGCTCTTTGCAGAAGGGCGCCAAAAGCGACGCCGGCCTCCTCCTTCCCTTGAGATATGTGAGACTGGGAAGGAGTGACAGGAGTTTAAAGTCCTGCCTTAGCGACACTTTCCCGTGTCAGGTTCTCTCAGCCTGGCCTCTCTCACATATCTGAGGCGAGAAGGGATGAATCCTGACACATAAAGGCGTGGGAGAAAGGACTTCTCCAGACCGGAGGGCTGCGTTTCCTGACAGGGGTCGAGAATCCCGTTTTTCCTTTGTTTTCTATTAAAAAACATACATATATTGCATGCATGCATGGACACACACACACACATATTGCATATATAGTGCTTTTTCTGGGCGTTCACAGGGGTATGCATACCCCTAAACATTTTGTGAATCTTTGTACAGTACTTTTGTCCATTTGCTGTATTTCTTTTTCCCAATTTGAACTATAAAATGGTGGTTCTCTTGAGTCAAAATGAAAGTACCCCTAAACATATATATATATATATATATATATATATATATATACACACACATACATACACACAATATATATGTTCGTGTGTGGTGTGTGGGTGTATATATACACACACAATATATGCATATATATATATGAGCATGGGGGGCAAAGGAGCAGGGCAGGATGTTGAAAGCCCCTCATGCTACCTATTACGTGTAAAAGGGTCTCTTCCAACAGCAGCAGCAGCAGCAGCAGCAGCAAAAAATCCTCTGCTTTTCTGTTGCTGGCTGGCTGTGCACAGGTGACAACTTGAATAAAATATCGGGGCTGGTGAGCCCCACACCACATAATCACATGTCGCGGTACATGCACACTATTTGAATGGCATTGCCCATTTAACTGGGGGGGGGGCACCTGCTGGTCCCCTCAAATAGCTTTTTTTTTGGCAGGGGTGAAGGGACCTCAGGCCCCTAGGAGTTAGCGCCTATGGGCTGTAGTGTCTCTGTGTGTGTGTGGATTGGGATTGCACCGACTGTTGCCACACCATTTGCCTTTTGGGGCTGTTTGCCAACGGTCCAAAAAGAGTCTGTGTAAATAGCTTGTACACACTTTATTGTGCAGGATTCATATACGCATATAACTTCACTCATCTGGAAAGGCACCCTCAAGTGACTTTCTAGGAATCATATAGGAACCAACTCCTATGTGATTAAGTGCCTATGGCCCTACCCTAATTTCAGGTAGGCTGGAAGGCCCCCAAGTTGTTGAGCATTGTCATTCAAACAGCGTGCATCATGTGACCAGTTACGGGAGGTGGGGCTTACCTCCCCCCCCCCCCGCAATATTTTATTTAATTTGGCACCCCGATAGGAAAAAAGTGCAAAAGACGCTAACAACACCAATGCAACAATACAAATACTGAATACTAAGTGTTCCTGCAAAGACAAAAAATAATTTGAAACAGCACATGGTATCAACCCTTTCCACACAGGATAAACACCAGTAGCCACCCAAAGCCTGGTCTTAAGTGCTGTCCAAATGTCTGAAAAATAAAGACATCTTCAACAGGCACCAAGAAGATGACAGAGTCATTGCCAGGCAGGCTTCCCTGGGGAGAGACAGCATTCCAGTATTGGGGGCCCCATAGAGAATGTTGTTTTATTTACATTTATATACCACCCAATAACTTAACATTCTCTGGGTGGTGAACAATACAATACATGCAGTAAAATATTATTTTTAAGCAAGCAAGTGAACATTGACAACAGGCTCTCTTTTTATGCACTTGATAATGTAGGCTCTGTTCATGTACATGGGAACCCTGCAAAAAACTGGGGCCATTATGAATACAGAAACGGCGTTCACATCATACATTTAAAACACAGTTCGCCATAAAGAATCCGGGGAACTGTAGTTTGTTAAGGGTGCTGGGAATGGTAAGAGGTAAACTACAGTTCCCAAGATTCTTCTGGGTTGTGTGTTGCTTTAAATGTGTGTACACAGCCAGAGCTTACATCCGAACAACTTTCAGTCATTAATGTCTGTCATTTTTCTAAATTTAAGCTGACTGAAAGTTCAGTCACTTCATGGCAGAGAAGGGCCTGCATCTTATTCCCTGATATGTTACCTTTTCAACAGGTGGAATCTGGAGCAAGGCTTTGCCAGGAGAGCTTAAAAGATAAGGGGATTTTATTTTATTTTATTTTGTAGGAGAGAAGGCACTCCTTGGTACAGTTGGCTAGGATGTTCTGTGACTGGGATGGAAAACCTGTGGCCCTCAGATTGATTTCATGCAGTCCTTGGTCTAATTTCATGCGGGTGGCAAGGAGAGGGGAAATGGGAGGGATTGGAGAGGTTGGCAGAGAGAAAGAGGCAATTGAGTGGCCAGTGGATCACTCTTTAAAGAACTTCACTTCCTGTGATGCCTTGGAGAGAAGTCATGAGAGTTAGAACAATGTTTTCTGTGGCATAGATTTGGAGAATGTTCATAATACTTCATCTACCCAACAATTTGCATTGCAGTTTAAAGTGGATGTCTTAAAAAAACACCACTAGAGGTCTCTTCTAACTCAGAATTATGTTAGATCCAGCGGAGGGGAAGACAAATAGCCAAATACAAGCCTAACTTTTGCAGATGAAAGTATTTACATATGCAAGACTGGATATCCCCTTTCACTTTATGTTCAGCAAACAACCCCTGCCTAAAATTTCCCAGCTGGTCTTCTTGGGGGGGAAATGGATGCACCACATACTAAACTCTCCAAAATACTTGACTTACTATCTTGGTGTCACAAATTGCCTTTTGAAAAAATATGTTTATCTATTTTGTTACTGTTTTTGCAAACAATCCAGGCAAATTACTCCTCTGATCTTTCAGGAGAAATAGGGTACAGTATACATAAACTGACCTAGAACTAGGGCAGTGAAAACCTCTGTTGCAATTGCCAAGTGACAGTTTGTTATATCTCATTGGCTCACTACTTGCAGCCACGACTTCCAAAAAAGAAGTGGAATTTTACCGTATTATTTAATTCTGTAAACAAGTTCCGCAGATGTTTCCATCTTTCAGTGATGAAAATTGGAAGAATGTGACTTGGGTTCTTACGTTAGATCATGTATTAAATAAATTCCAACTTTTACTGATGTATTGGGAGTTCCTGCTTTGTATCTCATGTTGTGCCCCTCAAGTGATAAGAGCCATTCCTGCAATGCTGTTTCTAGGAGTTAGGGACTTTGGTCTTCTTGTCTGCACTGAAGATTCTGTGGCTAGTTTTTTTGAGGGGGTGTTGGTCCATGTTTACAGTGTTTTTGACTTTTGATTATATTCTCTATCTGGTCCCCTCTTACATGAGAAGTTGGGTGATTCTGGGGCAACTGAGCCGGCCACTGAATTTTTCCTTCCCAACGCCGATTTCTGTTTGTTTTGAGAAACATAACACAGATGCCTGAAACTGGCAAAGGAGCATAGGAAACTATTAGCACACACATGCCTTATTTCTGGCTAGCAGTAACGGGAAGGGTCCAGCTAGCGTGGGGCTACCTTTGAAGGTGACCCGGAAACTACAACTAATCCAGAACGCGGCAGCTAGACTGGTGACTGGGAGCGGCCACAGAGACCACATAACACCGGTCTTGAAAGACCTACATTGGCTCCCAGTACGTTTCCGAGCACAATTCAAAGTGTTGGTGCTGACCTTTAAAGCCCTAAACGGCCTTGGTCCAGTATATCTGAAGGAGCATCTCCACCCCCATCGTTCTACCCGGTCCAGCACCGAGGGCCTTCTGGCGGTTCCCTCACTGCGAGAAGCCAAGTTACAGGGAACCAGGCAGAGGGCCTTCTCGGTAGTGGCGCCTTCCCTGTGGAACACCCTCCCACCAGATGTCAAAGAGAACAACAACTACCAGGCTTTTAGAAGACATCTGAAGGCAGCCCTGTTTCGGGAAGCTTTTAATGTTTGATGTATTATAGTATTTTAATATTCTTTTGGAAGCCGCCCAGAGTGGCCGGGGAAGCCCAGCCAGATGGGCGGGGTATAAATAATAAATTATTATTATTATTATTATTATTATTATTATTATTATAGCCAACCCTCTGTGGGATTGTTTATTTCACTGCAAGCTCACTAATTGTGAAGCCATTTCATTCAATAAACACCCACCACTTCCTACATGGTGACATGCATTCGTTTTCCTTACTTTTATTTATTATTTTTAGATCTTTATTTTCTTCCATCATGGAATGAATTTAAGGTGCTGTTCACAGCGTTGCAGGACCAGGCATCGGACTTCCCATACCCCAACACATATAAATAGGAGACCAATTAGACTGGGTTTGGGGTGAAAACAGGCTACAACTTTATTGAATACAGATGAAAGAGTTTTGGCGTGGGCATGGGGTAATCTAAATACTTCCCGCCTGCCTGCTGGAAGTGACACATGGTCAATCCAGGCAGGGGTTCCTAAGACTTACATCCAGTAGGGTGACCCCCGCAGGGGAGTGCCTTTGGCCCTGGCCCCCCTGGACACGCGGACATGGCCACTCCCCCTGAAACTCTTTAATGGGATACCACAGCATTTGGAGGGGCAAGCGGAGACTACAACCTCCCCTCCATCCAAAACAAGGGATTGTCCCAATGCTCAACTGGTTGTGACGAATTGCTATGAGGTAGGCAAAACCACCAGGTCAGTGCCAATTAGCCCGGTGAGCAAATTCCTACCCAGTCCCATAAAGAACGGCGATCACCATTGTCACAACAAAGTCATTGCCTATCAGCGTAAACCGTGGGTGGGTGGGATGGGGGGAAAACCCAGAGCAGGAACAAACAGGCTGCTTAAATGGGCAGGGGGCGGATCTGAGGGAAGCCCATCATGGGCTCCATTGGCTCCACCCCTGGCTCCGCCCATGCCCCAGCCTGTATCCCCATTTGCCAATGCAGGGTGCAGGCTAAGATCCAGCTCCTGATGGGCGGCAGGAGCATATGCCCCCTCTGCCTATCAGGAAGGGCAGTGCCATTTGAATTCCACCATTGGGCCCCAGTGAAGCCTCTTCCGTCCAGCAACGCTGCCGCACCTAGAGAGGTGAGCGGACTTCCAAAAATCCCAGGTGGTCTCCATCTGGGCACTGGCCAGATTGTGACCTGCTTAACTTCAGCAAATTTGCTGCAGCATGGACCTTCAAACTATGAACTGGGGATCAAGCATATGTAGGTAGGTAGAAAGCCTGTCAATGTACAATTTGGGGAGTTGCGGGGACTTTGTCACACCACTATCCTATGCATGTTTACTGAATTCAGTGGGACTTCTTCCCAACTAGAAATATGCTAGGATTGCACAGCCTTCAATTACGTGAATCTTTCAGGTTTTCGAATGCAGTTCTTAGACTTTGGACCTTTTCTTTAGCGTCTGCAGGTGGGGCAGTGGTTGTGCTGGATCATTGCCTTACCTCGGTAATGGACTGGATGAGAGCCAACAAAGTTCAATCCAGATAAGAATGAAGTTCTTAGTGGGTGGTTCCCTAGACCACAGGGATAGGACCTTGCGTGCTCTGAAGGAGCAGGTACACAGCTTTGGAGTACGGTATTTCTGTCGCTTGAGGCTCAGGCGGCCTTGGTGGCATGGAGTATCT